TAATTGAAGTTTTAATTTCAGGATTATGAGATCAAATTATTTTATCTTTATTCTTTCTTGTTTTCAGTATTTATATATTTTTCTGTGCATACAAAAAAATACTATCTATTATCTATTACAACAAGGCCCATTGTGCATTTAACATAATAGTATATCGCCAATCAGGATTCATGAATTCGTAATTGTTTAAGTTATTATGATAACTAATGGTAAATTAGTGTTCACACTAAAAATATATATAATCTAATGATAATGAATAGTGTAGTTGAGTTTGTTGGTTAAAATGAGTCTTTCTTGTTTTTAATGCTGTTAGTGAATTAAACTTTAGGAACGTCTCCAAGACTGGTCATTAATAAGAGTTAATCAATGAGCGTCTCTTGATTAATTTAAAACTAAGAAAAGATTGGTTATTAGAAACATCTTCAATAATTGATCATGCGAATTGAAACTGATATTATTTCTTTAATTAAAATTTATTCATGATTAATTCTTATTTCATTTAATCTGTTGAATTATTTTCTGCTAATTTCAGTTTAATTAATTTTTATTTTATTCGATTTGTTGATTTAAATTATGATGATCTATTTTAGTTAATTAATTATTTAATTTAAACCCAAAACAAAAATCCCCCCTCTTTTATTTTTATTTTATTATTGGTTGTAAAACAATATTATATTATATTTTCCTGTGGGTTCGACCTTATTCACTATTGCTATAATTTAATTTATTGTTAGAATATAATTTTATTTTTGGTTGATTCGAAACCCATCATATCACTTCATCAAACACCATAATGCATGTTTCTCTCTTATTTTGTGGGTCTCTGGGTTTAGCTTAACCACCTTTCTATGAATGAGCCCTCGAAAATTTCTATTCCAATTTGGGCATTGAATTTTTAGAACACGACCCATGGCTCTATAAAGTAATTGTTTTAACCCATCTTGGCTTCTTTTCAGATCAACTATTTTTTTGTGCCTATGAGATGCTTATTATTTAACTTGACACACATGATTTTTTCTTTCTTGTCATGCATATTTTATATATAAAAACAGTAGTAACCACCCTCATTGCCATCTGGATTCTCGATTGTTTTCGCATAGTTGACCTCTTATGTTTGTTTTATCTCTATCTGGTTTCTTTTTTAGGTATTTGCTATTTAAAAATTCAAAAACTCTTTATCATAAATCATATTATCTATTCTTTGAGTAATTTTCCCTAGAATATTCCTTTTTACATTCTAACCATTATCCATGTTTGTTCAAAGTTTATAGGTATCATGTTAGGTTCTTCTTCCATATCTAACCAAAAAACCTTTCGATCCACCTTAATGAGCACATTTTTTAGGCTTTCATTAAGTTTATGGAGTTTTATGTGTAGTTTGTCTTCATCATAAGAAGATTTAGCTTTCATGTCTTCATTTAACTTCACTAACCTCCATACTATTGCCATGCACCATGAAGAATTTCTTAAATTATGAGTAAAACAAAATTCTTTTACATTTTACTTCTGTCACCCTATCATACTTTTCATTGCCATTCGTCACATCCCCATGACCATAATTTCTCCTACTTCATATATTCTTCAATTGCTCTCTATATTGTCTCTCTGCTATTAGAGATGATTGGAGCCATATTAAGTTTCTATCTTTTGACATTTAGGATCTTTTTATCCCTTGCCATCAGTATCTCCCTCACTTTAACAGTAAGTTCAATGACATTTAGGATCTCTTTATCATGGAAAAGAGATCTTAAATGTTAGGAATACACCAAAATACTATAATAACATTTAGAATCTATTTATCCCTTGTAGAGTTATTTCAAGATATGTTTCAAGAGGATGTAGTATTTGACATATTTGGTTATACTTCTCAGCCAACTAATTTTTCTTGATTTATTTCCTCCATATACTTAACCTGTAGCTAAAGCTCCACCTTTCACAATAAGCATAATTCATCACAAATGAAATAGGAAGATAAAGGGAGATGACTTTTTAATGTTCTTATTCATTTTCAAAGCTTTTTCTTAAGGGTGGAATAATAACAAGATTTCGAGAAAGAGAAGGAAGTAAGATGAGGAATTTAATGAAGAGCAAGTAATATAGGAGATAAAGTAGGAGATAAGAGGCTTCATCTAGTCACATGTCTCTTTCAACAATTTGAGCATTTAAACTTTATGATTATTCATCTTTATATTAATTAGAACAGATTATACATAATAATTTCTATTAAGTCACCATATATTGATCCTATAAATAGTTAAAAAAAAAAGCATAAACCTTGTGGCATTTTAAATCTCTTATCATCTTGAGGAAATAAACACCAAATTTAGTGGTGAAATAAGCATCAGAAGCCTTCTTAGTTTAGCTCTCTTAATCAAGGTTTAGAAAAAGACATGATCCTGAATGTAGTAGTTCTTTGTCATGGCTGCCATTAAAGTTCATATGTGGTATCATCGTTATGTGTCTTTTTTTAGGTATTTTTTTGTATTAGTTAGTCAATCCTATTTAACTATGCTATACTATCAGATTTTTTCAACATTTACATATTTATTTTTTTAAAAAAGTTATTGATGCTTAGTTATGATGATTTTAACATTTTATGAAGATATTAACAAATACATAAGGGTCATTTTTTATTATAACTCGTGTTGTATTACGTAAGAGTTTTAAATTTCAGCATGGACTTAAAAATTTGAATCAAACTAGATAAGTTAGTTATTTAAACCAGATAAAGAGTTTTGTATAGGGCTTATACAAAGAACAAACTAATTAACTCAAGAAGGGATCCTGTGGATAATCACCACCCTTGGAGTCGAGAGCTGGATGCAACTATTAATGACTTATTTAAAATTGTCCGCTGTGAGGTAACCCTTCACCTTTTGCACATTTCCAGACATTATTGTTAAGTTGGTTGTCAACCACTTAGTAGGACAATAGAACATGGTTATGTATATCCAATGAGGATCTGGTGGGGAAGGTACATATATGGGCCCATCAAAACAAATGGTTGGATCTACAGGTGCTCTAAAGATTACATGCCTTATTTTTAGAAAGTAAACTATGATGAAAAAGCCTTATTGAGAGAATTAGAGGCATTAAAATCAAATCTAGTTGAGAGGTGGAATCCACTTAATTACACCTATATATAAACTAAATTATGATGCATCCGGGAATGGAAGGCTAGAAGAGTCTTGGTGTTATATGAAGCGATTAGGTGGGTAAGGTCATTTTTACAGGCATGAGGAGAATTCTTTCTACCTCAGAGACATATGGAAATAACATATTTTGTTCTATTGTATGGCATGTACCATACAATAGCTAAGGCAAGGGGACTAAAGTAAGTAATTGAAGAGGGTAACTCACGAATTATATAGTTCACTCTCTCCTCCAAAGCCCGTCAACCTCTATTTGAGTTTAGATTATTTATTGAGGATTTTTTTTACCTTTTTTATTCCTTATTTTTAGACTTTTACTCTTAGATGGATTTGTATGCTTGTGAATAAGGTATCAACGCCTTGGTAAGCTTGGCAAAGTTTATGCCTGAAGTTTTCTTTTTTTTTTTTTTTTTTTTTGAAAAGTAAGTATACTTTATTAAAGAAGCAGCATTAAGTACATAATTCCCTAAGTTCCCAAGGACGTCCAACATCATATCTCACAATTTAGGGTCCCCATAAACAAATGCAATCCAAAATAGACAACATACACATTTTTCCAATTTTCCCCCATCACCACCCATTTAGTACATCGATCAGGATGTTTTTCTTTGGTGGATATGTCTAGCTTTGCTTGTGCAGTGTACCTTTCTCAGTTATTGTTTTGAGATGTGTACATACAATTGATCAAGCTTTGGCTGTATTAATAAATTAATTCATTTAACTCTCAATATACATATACACACACATACATATATATTACTTGTTTAAGTGAATCCTACACAAGTTAAAATTACAAATGATAATCACTTTGTACATCTGGCTAGCTGATGTAGTTGACATGGGAAATCTGGAAAGATTAATTTTTGATTGCTGAAAATTTATCTTTTCATCAAGAGTGTCATCACTTTTTTTTTTTTTGTAAATTGAGATTAGCTTAATACATGACATAAAACAAACTAGATAGAATCTAAAACCCTTGGCATGAAAATAGCTCAATCTCCATTTGTTGAATTTTAGCTTCAAAAGGAAAAAGAACCGTGGAGATTTTCCCCTTCACTTTTTTCCCTATTCGTAGAAGAGAATCTTAGACATGAGCTCACTCCTGCATGAGCTAAAAGATTACACATAATTGTACAGGCACTTGAAATTTCACTATCTCACATACGTTACTCCAGGATTTTCAATTCTTCTTTTTCTTTTTTTTCAGTTCTTAATTACCCTTCTAGGGACATTCTCATACATAACCCTCTCTTTTAATTGCACACTTCGCATTAATTTTCCCTTGAAAATCAGGCTAATAATAATGCTAGTCCAGAAGGGTGACACTTACATCAATGTATTCTTTACTAATAAATTTGCTAGTACTGATTCAATCTTCTATATATGGGTTTTTTTAGTCTTTTCCTTTATTTTTGTCCTTTAATAATTTGCGGAAATATGAATAAATTGATAGGCTGCTTTTCTCTGCAAAGCTTCTCTCCACCTCTAAG